CAATTTTTTATTGCCATATTTGTATATGACCATAGGCCTCTAAATATTCAACACAAATTTTATCAATGGTCACTTTTTACCAAAATCCACATCACCTCTCTTTTACGAAACTGGTTAACTGGCATGAGTTTTATCTTACTGGAATCTAGAATATGTCTTACAAAATAGTTGCTACGGATGGAGAAATGATCAGTTGCTTGCTTTTCACAGCAATAACCTATACCAGTTTAAAGAAGTAAAGTTCTTTCTTTCAGAACCGTTTCCAATAATTATGTTTCAAAATACATTGTAGTTAATGTCTGCATCTCCAGACTTCTGCGGACATCACAGAGGAAAGGTTCCATTGGGTACATTCATTTCATAGCAAAACTGTAAATGTTGGAAAGAAACAGGACTATTCTTTAAAGGCAGAAGTGCCTTTTCATATGAAAAATAGAGGAGTATAACCATTTTCATGCAAAGTTTGTGTACATCTTGAGCATGTATCTTAAAGTGTATGTCTATAACAACCACCCCCTTCAATATTGTATTGATTCCACCAACAACCCCAACAAGTATGTCCTTCTATTCCATGTTCCCGTGCCCCATTATAATTTGGGAATTTCTAGAAGAGTTGTTTTTTATGTAAGCTATTTCTTTTCTCTTTGAAAGCAAACTTTAAGCTTGTTACAGTGACTTGCAATCCTATTGCCCATATACTTAGGAATTAGTCCTCTGAACTTCACTCTGAGTGGGCATACATAGGGCTGTGCTTGAAGGGTAGTTTAAAAACTCTAGCTGAAAAACTACAGCATACTGCTATATTTGGTTGTCTCAACTTGCAACTCTACTACAGTTACTACTTTTGGTTTTGACTCCAATGCAACAAGTATGGAAGATGGTATAAAGTGCTGCACTTTATACTAATTATGGTTACATGAAAGGAAGTTCTATCAATTTTAGTGAGATTTACTTTGCGATAAACTTTAGAACCAGGCTGTGGGGCGCAAAATAATTCCATTTAAATGTGCACACACGGAAGGCTACAATTCTTTGTTAAATAAAAAGTCTCATCAAACTCAGTAGGTCTTACTTCTGAATAAGCATGGCTATGAACATGCTGACAGTCATGGGATTAAAACACAAATCAGATTATCTAGACCTTTGTTTCTTTATTACATATATATACCGCCCCACAGCCCATTGGACTTTCTGGGTGGTTTACAAAATTTAGAAGACCTATAAAAACCATTAATAGTAATAGCAATAGGTGTTATTTAGAAAAATATGCCAAGTACCTCATTCTGCTACCCCCTTTCTCTCCACCCCTTCTCTCCGTTGTTACTCGCTCAGTATTTTTATTTTTCATAAGTTATTTCTTAGCTATGATCTTTGTACATCCTTATTCTTTCAAAATGTCTTAAAGGCGCCCCAGCATCTTTCTTGAGAGTGAGTTAAGCTACATAACATCTTAGGTTTTTATACCTATAAAGCCACTCAAAATCCTTGACATTTTATGCCGAAGCCTTTCGTTCCAACTCGCCTCCAGTTCTCCAACAGCTGGAAGGGGCTCTTGGGCTACGGGGCCGGGCTCCAAAAACGGGTGGGCAACGGGCGAGAGCAGCATGGATGTGTGGGTAGCTCCATCTGCCGTGGGCTTGGGGCCGCAGCCCTCATCAGTACGGCACTTCCCCTCCGTTCTAGCCATAGTCAATGGGACGGCCAGGACCTGAGATTGCTACAAGCCATTGCCGGCGGTGTCCAGATTTCATCTCTGCTATTTGCAACGTATCACTTCTGTCTATTGTTCCTGCTGATAGTGAAACACCACTTAGCACAACGGGGTGGGGAAGGACTGAGAAGCAAAACGGGAGGTGGGGACTGTGAGCTCTTTCCACCCCCCGCTTCCCGTCACCCCCTTTCTTTGTCCCGCTTAGTAACTGGGGCTCCCAACCAATCCTAATCCGGCCGGCCGGTTTCCTAGACTACGTATTGGCTGGTTGTACTGAGGCTCTTTCGGCCAATCCGCAAGCTCGATGCTTTCTCTTAGACAAAAGACAAGCAAAGCGGCTCTCGCAAACTGGGCTAACTAATCCGCTCCCCCCGCACTTTCCTCCTGCTTGCCGAAGTGGCGTCCATTCTGGCAGTGAGCCATAGATGAAATTTGCAACTTCTTTCCTTAAAATAAGAAGAGGCTAGGCAGAAATTTGTGCATATGTTGAAAGGGCACCAAATAAAACTCAGTTTCTGCAGTTCGCTCAGTTTAAGCGCTCAGGATCTCTTAAGCTACAAAGCATGGAAAGTTCAGAAACGTATCCCAGATAAATTGTTTGCGTTGCCATTTCACTACCTGTTTAAGCAATTCCTCTTCCTTTGCAGCACAGCATGGAACTTAGTCCTTAAACTACTCAGTCCCCAGCGCCCATAAGTGCTTAAATTTTTCAAAGATAGCAAAAAGCTGGACCTGGATTTATCCTTTATCCTAAGTCTTTATCCTTAGACTACTTCACCATTACCACATCTACAAAATTAAAGCAGACTCTCACCAGAAAACCATTGGACGCTCCAAGCATTGCCTTCACGAAAAGTGTGCCTATTAACTAGCAAAGCACGGAGACAGGCTTTTGTCTCCAATATTAAGCCTCAATTGTAACTAGAAACCATAGCCACTAATACAGCATCTACAGATGGTAAGGCAGTGACTTTCAGATATAAAGTCAAGATACAGCTGCTGCATCCCAACATACATACACTACATGAACATGCAGCAAAACAGATAAGCATGCATCAGATGTGGTAGTGCATATAGAGTTTTTCTATATGATATCCGTAAGGATCACAGACAACCCTGTATTGCTTGAATATTAACCACAAATATTTCTGTGAATGACCATGTACATAATTAGTGTGTGCTGTTTAAAACTAAGGTGTCTCTGGGAACATTCTGATTGCAAATGTATATTGTACATAACAAATATATATGGAAATAGATTTTCTGCTAGATTTTCCTGAATACTGTGTGATAGCTTCTCCTTCAAAAAATTAAGGAATGTGTAAACATGAATCTCTGTGAAGAACCATCAAACATGAATGTGCTGGATTGTGAATTACTAGGAAAGCAGTTACAGGGACAGCACTACAATCTAGCACCTTGACATCAGTGTCCGGCTGGGACGGGCAATGGACCCTGGTTTTTTCCTACTTCATGTATCAGCCTCATCCTATCCTGGGCAGCTCACACATTACAAGATGTGTATGTGCCCTTTGCACTTTGGAAAGTCAATGTCTAATGTGCCCTGCCAACTAAACATGCAACTTGGATTAACAATAACAATCCCACTATAGTTGCATTTTGCAACCACTTTCAGAGATACCACAGCATCCTAGGACACAAACACCACATCACAAACTGCCATATACACATACGGTTACTGCAATCCTATGACCTTTTTCTTGGAGATGCCCCATTGAGGAACATGAGATTTACTCCTATGTATGCATGGGCTCATTAGGCTGCACTTTCACAAACTTATAATCAGGCACACATGCTAAGATATACTAGACAATGTGCACTGAGAATAGCATAACACTTCAACACACTCAGGCACAGATGCTGTAATATACACATTGAGCAATTTCATTTATTTTAGCAGGTCAACTTTGTAGCAGATTGTAACATATGTGTGTAATAAATGTAAAAATAAAACATAATTAGGGGTAGCATATGCTCTTGTCCAGCCACTGGCATATGAGGGGTACAGGACTTGCTAACACACACACATCCAAATTGTTTTAAAGCTCCAAAACATACATGCATACTATGCATGCACCAAGATGCAGTTTATCCCAAACATGCACAAGTATGTTTTTTTTTTTTGTTCCCCTACCTTCCAAAAGCCAATTCAGCTTATGTTCATGCAGTGGAATCTACTGCACACCTGGACTGCTGCAGAGTACCAGGAATACACACACCAATTTCTTGCTTCAATTCAGATGAACAAATTAGGTTTTCTAATTTACTGGACATCAAAACTGTCACTTTTACAGTAACACTAATATCCAGCCTTATCATTTCACACAGCCGCACAACCAGTGTATGTATATATTCAGAACTACCCCTAAACTACGATTGGAGTCTCCACATCCCACTTAATGTAGAGTCATCCCATTCGTACTGGGATTGCTCTTAAATCGATGGGCTGCTGATTATGGCTTCAGTCACATTTATACATAATATATAGATTAACAACATCACATCATGCACATTCAGATAGAGAGCATGTCCATCTGACTCATCCACACAACAAATCTTCAAGAGTAGTACACAGTCCAGTCACTCTGCACAACAGGACTGCAGCATCCACAAACATTCACAGTCCCAGCACAGACAACCTCGAAGATTGTCCCCACGAACAAAATCGTAGGCAGTATGTGGTCAAAGGTACCATACCACTTACTTTCCTTTAGGTGAACAATCAAGCCAAGCAAGTACATACTTTCTTTTGCATCATCTTCTGCGTGCCGTTTGGGAGGGAAAGGGGGAAGTGGTACCCCCCCCACACACACACTCCTCTGTCTCTGAATGTTCTGATGCTGGCCGATTTACCTTTGAGCAGAGGGGTCTCTACATGCACATGGTGCAGACGGACGATGGTGAGCGGGGGATGGGGGGGCCACCCATCCATCGCCTGCTGCTCCAGTTGGAGGTATCGCCCTCACATTGCTATCAATCATTCACTGACACTTGCAATCTGTGCGACATTTCGAAAGGGAGCCAGGGGTAAAGTTGGGAATAAGACTATCCCACTCGCAGCTTTTGCTCAGGCTACTTGAGTAAAAATACCCATGCAGCGAAAGCGCTCCAGTGCCGACACGAGAGGGTTAACCAAAGGGGGCGGGGTTTCCCCTCCGCTCTCCCCTCCCCACTTTCCCCCTCGGGTGGGCGGAGCTTCATCCCCGGCATAGAGGCGGTTGGGCGAAGGTTGGGGCCCTCAGAGTCTCTTTAAAATGAAACCGAATGGGGCTGGGAGAAGGCGAGCACGAAGGCGCGCGCGGGGGCTGATGCTGGGCTTGTGTGCAGCAGCAGCAGCAGCAGCAGCAAGCGGCTTGGGCACCGCCGCCGGCTGCAGCAGCAGGCGCCGAGCGAGGGTCTCCTCGGGGGGCAGCAGCGCCGCTGGACTGGCGGCGGCGGGCTCTGCCCTGAGGTGTTAGAGAGGCGAGACGTTTCCCTGCATGGTTCGCGCTCGCTTCGGGGAAGAGCAAGAGGATTATTTCAAACGAGCAAACGCAAAACGCCGCAGCGTTCAATTTCTTCAAAGCTGTCTTAAAACTTTCCCTCCTAAGAACTGCTTCAAGCATTTCCTCCAGCTGCTTCCACCCCTACGCAGTTTTTGTATATTTTGACCTATCTCACCTTAAAAGAATACTTCTGTGCTTCTCCCCTCATCCCCCTCCTCTTTCTCTTAATTTGAATTTGGGGAGGAAGCTGGAGTGGCTCCTTTCCGCCCCCCCCCCCACCTCACCAAGGAGGGAATTAAAAAAAGGACATTTCTTGAGCTTCCTGAGAGGGGAGTGGTTTTCCCGAAGAGGAAACCATCGAGCTATTCTTAAGAAACTTTCTCTCTCTGACTTTTTTTTTTAAATTGTACGTGCTATGGAAAGCTAAGGGATTTTTTTTAAAAAAATTTGGTTTTCTTTGGCGTGCCATACTGTTTATTTTTTAAAAAAGGAAGAAAGAAAAGCTGACAAAGAGGGATCCCAGAGATCGCCTATTTGTCACAATGTACAATACAGTGTGGGATATGGATCGCGATGACACGGATTGGAGGGAGGTGATGATGCCGTATTCCACCGAGCTGATCTTTTATATCGAAATGGACCCTCCAGGTAAGGCAGAAAATAGACTTCTAGTAGTAGTGGTAGTAGTTAATTATGATAGTTTAGGGTTATAACCGTGGTGAATGCTCAGTGTCAGGCGTCTGTGTAGTAGAAGTTTATTGTTCTCCCCCTCGAGTGGGATAGACCCGTTTTCGCTGCCGAAGAAGCAAAGAACTATCCTTACCCGGAGGCGAGTAAACTTTACTCTTACTCTCTTCTGCTGTCTGTTAAGCAGGTCTTTTTAAAAGCGTCAGCTTTGTAAAGAGTGGAGAACTGCCTGCTTTTAGAGTGCAAAACCTAGAGCACACGTTTTTTCCCCTCTTCCTCCTATTGTTGAAAGTTCTATTTATTGTGTATCTGCATTCATAATACTACCCTCTACTGCCACCTTCTTTTTAAAGGCTAGTTTGTTACTTTTTGAAGTTCAATATTTCGTTTAATGTTTTGAATGCGATTGTTTAGAAATGTTCTCATTCTGGTAGCTTTCAGATCTGCACTTGGTTCTGTAAGAAAACTATTGCAGCAGATCCTATGCATGTTGACTCAGAAGTAAGTCCCTTAGAGTTCACTGGGGTTTACTAGCAAGTAAGCATGGAGAGGATTGCAGCATAAAGTATTTTAGAGACATTCAAGACCATTAGAATGTTTTATACACACACACACACACACACACACACACACTTGAGAAGTATTGTTCTGACTTTGCTTTGGCTTAGTATTTCTTTTGTGTCTGGGTATGAATGAGATGTGAGAAGTGCCAGAGATTCATTGAATCAGAGGTGAAAACTGGATCCATTAGAACTATAGTTGTAAGCATTTAAAATTGCTGCAGGTTTCAATTATATTTGAACATTTCTTCATGAAAACATAATTACCTTCCAAGATGGTTCTGCTACTGTATTAGAGAAACCACCCTGTCATTATTTGAGAATTCTGATTGTCCTGAAGACTTGTAGTCCTTTGTGACCTAAGGGTTTAGACTGTTCAGCTGAATCATAGAGATAAAAGTAACTTCAGAAGTCATCTAGCTCCATGAGATGCAACTGCATGATTTCTTAGACTTTAGCCATGTCATTGATGCTCATTTAGGTTTCACTTAACTCTCCAGAGAAAGATGTTGTGTAACTTACTAAGAAAACTGATTTCTAAATGTTCATTGAAGTTAACATTTTCACATACGTAGCCAAAGTCAGTTAAGTTGCGGCATCCACATTCTTCTCTTTGATGCATGTAACCATTCTGTTTCTTTAAGGGTAATCATCTGGATACTTGAATCCCTCTTAGGCTGCAACTGTATACCCACGTACCTGAGTATAAGCACTGTTGAACACTTTGGGACTTACTTCTGAGTAGACACACATAGAGGCCAGTGCTAGTCATTTCTAAACTAAGCCTGCCCACTTTTTCAGTGTTTCTCCAATGGCAGTCATCTTTGTTCTCTAGAGTGTTGTATACAACTTGTGGTAAAATAAGGTATATAAAATGGAATGCCAAGTTTAGGCCAAACCAGACTTGTAGAACTGTTTAAAGTCCAGCTGCTAGTTGTTAAAATCCATTCTACTTCTTTTAAGTCTTCACTTTTTGAATAAGTGCATCACTTTGGTAAACCCAAAGCTAGATGCATCTCTCAGCAGACCAACAAAGCAAAGGAATTCATCAAAAAGTTTTGCAGTTAGTACATTTTTCAGCCATTGCCCACTGACAATTGAACTAATGATCACAACTATAGGTTCATAGCATCACAAAGGAAAAACAAAATTCTGTGTTGGGAATGGATTATGCAAATGAGGTATGCTTACACTGGTCTGCTTAGAATAGTTGTGCATCTCACTACTAATGCTTGTAAAGGATTTATAATGTTTGTTAAAGATTTGGTTAGCAGAATGCAAAGCTGGGAATTTTAAGCTGGATAGTGAAGGTTTCCTGCAGATAATACTAGCCTTAAGGAGAAGAATGTGAAGAGCACCAGAGCTCTACGCATTTCATCCCTACTCAGATTTCTGAGTTACCTTTCCCTCTTCACAGCCACAAGGACTAGGAACTTACACAAGAAAGCTGACATTCTCTGCAGATGTCATCCTTGCATAGCCATTATGTAGTTGTATAAAAAAGCACTAAGTCCCTAATGTGCAGATTAGTGTTAAGTGTTGGTACCTTAGCTTTAAGACTTGGCCAACTAAATGGGTTTGAGTGACTTACAGCTAAATATAAGCTATTTACACAGCTAGCTCAAGTCAGTTTGTTACCTGAGGTGAAATAAAAGACGGTGCCCCCTCCCCAGACCAAGTGCAGAAATTAACTGGACTGGTGGGTGACTCGTTTCAACGCTGGTGATGGGATAGTGCCCTCTACCACACCTGAGGCAGCAGGATAGTTTAGGGAACACAGGACAGTATGTGGTGCATGCGGAGGGAAGTAGAGTGTATATAAGGAACAACTGGAAGAACAACGCAGCATCTCCTGTCTGACTGAGATAATTGCCTCGCTCTGTCTAACGGTAGGGCTGGTCCTAGCTTTTTAATTTTTGTAAAATAGAATGTAAATTTACATTCCTCTAAAAGAATTTGGCAAAACTTACATTTTCTGAGCATTTAGCATCCTTTTCAGAATGTTCCGCTATGGAAATAAGTCTGTCCAGCTGACTGTATCATGGAGCATTTACCCGACTCCAGAATTATGCATCCTTTTTGTGTTCCATGGTTCGCTCAGGAAAAGTGTTTGAGTAATTTCTAAACGTTTCTCTAAGTCTAACTACACAACTTGACCCCATCAGGTACTCTGTACCCTCTATTTGAAAGCTCTTTAGGTAAATGGTTTACCAGGCACTCAATTTTTGAGTAGACATTTCTGGGTAATATATTAGTACTGTCATCTATGTGAATTTGACTTCACTTCTAGAAAAATGTTTATGATAATATGCCTTACTGTAGATTTTCTCTGTGGAACAATACTGTTCATGAAATTCAGTACTGAATTGATGCAGGCTTCACAACAATTGTTTTCAGGATTGCTGTGTAAGTGACAATGCCCCTTTTTAAATGGTTGTGTGATTCAATTAACTCATTGGAATATACAAGTAATCTAATATATCCAGTTAGGTAGAGTAGCTCTGTTCACTTAAGCTAACATAAATGGCTTGAGAATGCCAGTCTAGACTGATGCTGCCATAGCATATTATTGCTCTGTGGTACAATTTATGATTGTAAGGTCTTATTTAGTTATCTAAGTATTTCCTAATATTAAGGTGTTTAAAGGGGAGTAGGAGCTGCATTTCTTCCCACTGAAGTATGAGGACTTGGAAATAATGAAAACAAGAATTTGGAAAGCATTGGCTCCAAACAAGTGGAATAGTTTTGTTCTTAGTGAGACTTAGACAAAATGTTTTTTGATTAAACTATATGTCATGAGTCTTGTTGTGAATTTCAAGAAGAGAATAGGAAGACTACTAGGCCTCATTTAGACATGCCTAAAAATTGTATGTGGATATTTTACCAATGAGAACTTACAAATATGAAGAGCCCTACTGAGCCCAGGATTCTGTTCCCACAATGGCTAGTTAGATACCTCTTGGAAACCTACAGTCAAAACATAAGCATATTAGCACTTTCCGATCAATTTTCCAGTAACTGGTGTTCAGAGGCATATTGCTTCCAATATTGGAGCTTATATACACCTATCATGACTGGTAGCCATTGGTGGTTTAATTGTCCATGCTGCTAAATACTGAAATAAAGGAACGTATCATAGTTCCTCTGGGTAATTCTGGTATGTCCTAAATGTGCTGTACATTCACTGGTCCATCTAGTTCATTCTATGCTGACTGGCAGCAGTACCCCAGAATTTCCCACCTGAAGATGCCAGGGATTAAATCTGAGCCTTTATATAAACAAAACATGTGCTCTACCACCGACCAAAGGCTTTCCTCCTGATGCCATTGAACTATAGTGTTTACGTATAGTATGATAAAGAAAAGATGCCTACACTGTCAGTAATATCTCAGTTTGCTTTGGTAGCATTTAATCAGGGATCATTGAATGTGTTGGGATTAATTTGTGGCTGTGCTCATTAGTTGAGCAGGTAAACCACATCTTCAGTGGGCTAAAACCGCAATTGTGGAATGTTGAGTAACTTGTAGTTAGACAGCTTAGAAATTTATTACCCATTATATGTGAGAAAGTATAAATAGCAGAGCTTGCCCACACATTTTTATATAATACTTTTACTAACTTTTATAACACTTGTCAAGCAGTAGTTAATAATTTTAAAGAACTTTACATTACTAACGGCCATATTTCTATCCAAGAAGTTGTTGCTTGAGATTTTTAGAATATTTTATAGCTCTTGTCTCAAATTTTAATGTTTAGCTATAGGGTATATGCTTTTAAACGACCATCGTGTATTCATTACAAGTTCTGGAAGGAAACTATCTGTAAATAAATGGTAGAAATTGATAGACTGTCATTAATAGGGAAATTCTGTAGTAACACAGGTGACATAGTAATCAGTCTTACAGTAAACCATCTTAATTACTGATTTATTATTTTTAAAATAACACCTTGCAATAGAGGAAGAAGAGGCAGCTTTTAACAATTATACCCCACCCTTGTAACCCAAGGCTACTTACAAGGTTCTCCTCTCCATTTAATCCTTACAACAACCCTGTGAGGTAGATTAGGCTGAGAGTCTGAATGGCCCAAGGTCACACCAGGGGTGTTTCATGGCTGAGTGGGGACTAGAACTGACATCTCCAGACTCCCAGTTCCACATGCTTAACTGTTATTGATGACGACGACGATGATGATGATGATGATTGTCTCAAAAGTAAAAGCATTCAATATTGTTAACCTGTGTTAGGGCAGGTTAACAGTGGCCTAATAAGTTGACTCAACTATTTTGTTATACCACAGTGGAGAGAGGAGGGATTTTAAATTTTTGAAAATACAGTTCATGATAAGCTATTTAAAATATGCTTCTGCATTAAAACATTATGCACTATAAACCTTAGACCA